GTAGTTGTTTCTATGGAGAACAAATACCAATCCAAGATAAAGGGGGGAGAGGGGGGAGGCAGCAAGGGTGGCTGTCTCAAAGGTGGGGTGCAGATTTCAGGGATTATACATGGCTGGGCAGGCTCATCTTTCTCACTAAAGGACACGGCTTTGTAGTTAGATGTTTGTTTCCACTGAAAAAAAATAATTTGGCGGTGAAGTCCAGGTTCTACTACTGTATTGTTTCCTTTGCTATGTAAATTGAAATTTGATTATGGAGGTTGGGTGGTATGTTGACTCTTGTCCAACCTTAGTCCCAAGGAAACCATTAGTTTAGGTCAGGGGAGAGATCATAGGGGTTCATTTGTCATTTTGGGGGGTTGTTATGATATAAAGTTCGCAAAGCCTTGTATAACTATATAGTCTCCAAACAACTGATCAGCTAGCTTGCTTGCCTTTGAGAAGGGTCACTGTCATGAATGCAACCTCTGCCTTTAATTTGCCATCCCTAACAACTGCTGTTGTTTCCCCCTTCCTGTCAAGTTAATCCTCCTGGTTTCCTTCATTCTTTCCACTGTTCACAGTCCTATTCTATTTTGCCCACTTTATCCTCTTCATTCATGCCTAGTTCTATATCCCCAATCCTGATCTGCCCACTTTCATACTCCATCCTACAGAACTGTACTGCTTCCTGTTTTAACCATATGTGAGCTCATCACCTGTTCTCTCCAGAGTCATCCCCTCAATTCTTTCCCTATTGCCTCCTGAGGAGGAAACAGCTATGGGATTAATCTCTTCCTCCTCCTCTTTTTTTTTTTTTTTTTAATCACAGGACTAGGAATTTGTCAAAGCAAAGTAAGGATATCTTTAGTTCATATGAAAGTAACTGGGTCTTAAGAGGCCCAGAGACTTTCTGTGGAATAAAAATGGCAGGCTGTTCCTAAAAACCATTTGTTCCACTTTTGAATAAAATAATAAAATAAATCATTGGCACTTTGTAGGCACTGAGGAGATGCCCATAAGACTGCCTGCCCTATGCCACTTGCACATCACTGGACACATAAATAAGAGAGGATGATATATGTATTTTCACTAAAGCAACTAACTACTCTTTCAAGGAACTTTTAATTATATTCAGCTATGCCTAGCTATGTCTCTTTACTTTCCTCAAAACACATCTGTTTATAAGGTTATATAAGCCATGATTTGCCTAGCAGATCAGGTACTACACTAACTAAAAGTTGGAACTCCTCTGGTTATTTTCTCTAGAACATAAATCAATGGAGCCCAGAAGTTTTAATTTTTGTCTAGATAAGGAAGTGCTGTTTTAGGAATCATAGATCAGACTTTGGCCATTCAGTTGCCTATAAATTTGCAGGCATCACCTTTCTAATTATAAGGCATACAGAGTATTCTATTAGAAACTACATGCCCTAGATAGAATACTACTCCAGGGGAATAAATGTATTTCTCAGATTAAAAAGCTGATTTACTGTACTTCCAAACACAAATTTAACACACTAATTAATTCAGAAATTATGAAGGACAACATTCAGCAAAATTAGGGATTACTAAATTTACAAATCTTGTATTTTGGATATAAGCAGTGCTTCAAGTGATCTAATTTCCCAAAGAACAATTTTTAGCATTAACTTTTTTCAGAGAATGGAGAAGAAAAGCATCCCTTTCCTTTTGCTATATAGAAGAGCTCATGAGCAAGGTAGGTAGAAATTAAAGAGTTAATTTCTATATACCTTGTTAAAAAGAAAAATGTACACTAAGCTGGTGGAGCAAACTATTATCTTACACATTTGTTTCTTTAAAAAATGAAAAGTGAATTCCCCAAATTTATATAAAGCGTATAATGGCCATTAATAATTGGTTGGTTTCTGCTTGCAGTAATTTTTTTTCATGATTGAAAAATAGGCAGTTCAGACATCAGAAGTGGCCAACATCAGCTTATTAATACAATCAACCTGAGCAAGAAATAAATGATTACTTGCTACTCTACTATGAATAATGTATCATCCCTTCTCACTACCTTATGTGCTATGAAAGGATATATATTTCTGATATGTATTGTATGACAGAATAGATTTGAGATTAAATAATTTATTTTGTAGTAGAAACTAAAGAAACAAGAATTGATTTTCAGTCTCATTCCCAATGCAATTACGATACACAGTCTGGTACATAATACAAAAAGAACCACATGTAAGAACATTTTTAAAGATACATAAATTCTGCAAACTGGATTTTAAGTGGAATTTTGTGTTCAATTAAATTCTCTAAAGCCTACAGACTTCAGTGGGAATAAGTGCGTAGAGTTGGATGCAGAATTAAAAATGTATAACCTTTACAAAAGGAACAGTATTTATAAGACTATAAAATCACTTTAAAAATAAAATCTTATGCACGACTGTTTAGAGGGTCTGTTGAATTCAATGGCGCTTTCACCTCATAATAAATTTTAAAAGATCTGGGCTCATCTTTATCACATTAATAAGTCTGTGGTGCACAATGTTGATTTCTGCTTCAATCTACCGAAAAATATAACCTAAGCAAAGTCTTCTTTTCTAGAATACTCCTTGTATCAACTAAATAATTTATCTTTCAGTGGAAAAGGTCTAGTCATTCTAAAATGTGCCTAAGTCAGAGCAAATAAGCACCACAACCATTAAATACAAAGAACATTAAATCAATGCATTAAAAAAAAAGTCTTAAATCAGAGACTTGTTTTTCCTTCATGCTTTATAAGGATCAATGAAACTATACAGAATGTGTATGTGACAAGTCCCTTCCAGAAGGGATTTACAGTGTATAGTATTCTATCTTGACTGGGACTGACTAGGTGTACAGAAAAAGAGTAAAAATAGGGATCAGCACATCGTATAATAACTGAGCAACAGCCAAGTTTTAGTTCAAAATGCATAAACTTATAAAAGAATGGAGGAATGTTCTTGCTTGTTATTTGAAACCTTTCCGAGTGGTGTATGTCCAAGCAATCTAGAATATTAAAAAAAAATGCAAGGACAATATGCATTGACTGGGGAAAGCAGACCAGTAAGCAGGGCACTTCAAAGTCATAGCAGATTAACTATTATCACAAGTTTTTTTTCTTTTTTTTCTCTTCAGTGGCAATAGAAACCACTGAATGGACATTAGGAAGAACTTATGCAAAACAACAACAATTTACAAACAATTCCTAATTTTAAGTACAGGCTTCAGCTCTTCACTAGAGGAGCAATGTGTCAATGTAATGACTGAAGCATGAATCTTTTCACCAGTCCATTTCATTGCAAGAAGCATTTATTTGCCTGGCGGCTTCTTCTGGTAAGATTTCACAGCTGAACTCTATATTAATGCCACAATCCTGCGCACATTGATTTGAGAACAAGCTCTGTTGACCTCAGTGGGATTCACTTCGGAATAAGCGGAGCTCCAGGCTTTATGGCTTCAATCCTAAGCAATGTGTCCAACTCTGCTCTACTGAAATTAATGCTGCCAATAAGCAGTGGTGGTGCTTAAGCTACAAACAGTAGGAAGCACTCAGAATGTAACATTTCAAATGCTGGCAGGTAAACCTCTGGCGTGCAGTTGGTTATTATGCTGAAAACCATCTGAAAAGAGCAAGTGAACTTTATATGTCATCCCTCAAGAAGCTACAATTGCCAAAAATTATTCCAGAAGTTTATTGTCTCAGTAACCTATCTACCCAATTTAGATAGGAAACATTTTCCCTAAAGGGTGCTTTAAAATCTCCAAGATGAAGTAGAGATGTATAAAGTGCTTTCTTTTAAATGATACAAATCTGGATAATCAGATTTCCCCTCGGAAGAGAAAATTATGACTGAGAAATGAAGAACCCAAGTTTTGACAGAGTAATATGGAGAAAAGCAGTGAGACACTTTAAGTTGGCAACAGCTTAATATTTATACATTTGTTCATGCAGAGTCAAATATTAACTGCTCTTAACACAAGACCTGTGGGCTACAAATAACTTTCATATTCTTTTACTGTACAGGAGAACGTGTTTACTCATAAAGAAGCTAAGAGGCTCAAGAATAAGCTTACTACTTTTGACTGCGTAAATTAAGGGACTGTTAACATGTATATATATATATATATGGGGGGGAAGGAGAAGCAAACATTTTGAGAAGGCTTAATTAGAATAGACATTTGTCTCCAGCTGGACAAGTTCTCTGGCATGAAAGGAAGTTGTAGTTTGCTTAAACAAACGAATCACAACATAACACTCCCCACCGCAACCCAAAAGACAGTCCACAACACTTCTGCAAAATGAATGAATAAGTTGTGGCATTCGTGACGATTTAACGTTGTGGGCTGGAACCCGCCGCGCAAAAATAATTCGTAAGATCTTCCAACTCGCCACATTTCTATAGCAAGGCCAGCTTGCAAACACACAACGCATCTCGCTACGCCGTAGTCAACCCCGACGCCTACCTACTGCTTGGAAATTTTTATTTGTGTGTGTGTGTGTGTGTGTGTGTGTGAGAGAGAGAGAGAGAGAGAGAGAGAGAGAAGGGAGAGAGGGGCATC